TCTGGGACCCCTTCTATTTAACATGTTTATAAATGATCTTGAAGACCGCATTGAAAGTCATGTTTCAGTGTTTGCAGATGACACAAAACTTTGTAAAATAATACAATGTGAGCAAGATATTACTTTGCTGCAGAGGGATTTAGATAGACTGGGGGACTGGGCACTCAAATGGCAGATGAAATTTAATGTTGAAAAATGCAAAGTTATGCACTTCGGCGTAAAGAATACACAAGCAACGTATACCCTTAATGGAAGCGAATTAGGGATAACAACACTTGAAAAGGACTTGGGAATTGTTATAGACAACAAACTATGCAACAATGTGCAATGTCAATCAGCAGTGGCCAAGGCCAGTAAGGTATTGTCATGCATGAAAAAGGGCATTCATTCTCGGGACAAGAATATAATTTTGCCTCTTTATAAATCACTGGTAAGACCCCATATTGAATATGCTGTGCAATTTTGGGCACCTGTTCTAAAGAAGGATATTATGGCACTAGAAAAAGTGCAGAGGCGGGCTACAAAATTAATAAAAGGAATGGAACATATCGGCTATGAAGAAAGGTTAACAAATTTAAACCTATTTAGTTTAGAAAAACGTCGCCTGAGAGGGGATATGATAACATTATACAAATATATTCGGGGCCAATACAAACCATTGTGTGGAAATCTATTCACAAACCGGACTTTACATAGGACACGAGGCCATGAGTTTAGACTGGAAGAAAGAAGATTTCGCCTAAGGCAAAGGAAAGGTTTTTTTACTGTAAGAACAATCAGGATGTGGAATTCTCTGCCTGAGGAAGTGGTTTTATCAGAGTCCATACAGATGTTCAAACGGCTACTAGATGCATACTTGCAAGAACAGAATATTCAAGGATATAATCTTTCAATGTAGGGTAATAACTGCTTGATCCAAGGATAAATCTGACTGCCATTCTGGGGTCAAGAAGGAATTTTTTTCCTAGCTTGTTGCAAAATTGTGCTTCAAACTGGGTTTTTTTGCCTTCTTTTGGATCAACAGCAAAAAAACAAATGAGGAAGGCTGAACTTGATGGACGCAGGTCTCTTTTCAGCTATGTAACTATATATCAAAGTTTTGATATAAAAATTATTAAATAAATTTTTTGATAATTTTAATGAATATTATTTTAATATTTATCACCCCATAAATATCCTCACAATTTACTGCATGTATTTCTTCAATGCATGAATAAACGTTATGTGCAAACCTTGGTGTGCCTTGGGTTGTTGTTATTATCATTATTATTATTGCCATTTATATAGCACCAACAGATTCCCTAGCGCTTTTCAATATTATGAGAGGGGGGATTTAACTATAAATAGGACAATTACAAGAAAACTTACAGGAACGATAGGTTGAAGAAGATCCTGCTCAAACAAGCTTACAGTCTCATTATTATATCTATTGTGTATATATATCCAGTGTGGGAATGTATTTTTTCCTTAACACCTTCAGGACCGGACTGTTTTGGCCATGTTGTACGATAAGCACCAGAGCTGTTTTATTACTTTATTACTTTGTGGTGTTTGTGTTTAGCTGTAATTTTCCTCTCTCTCATTTACTGTTCCCATACAAGTTTATATACTGTTTTTTTGAGGACAAGAAGGGTTTTCTTTACATACCATTTTCTGTATCATGTCATATAATTTACTTTAGAAAAAAAAATGGTAAATTGACTTTTACTTGAAAAATCTTTTACTTATCTACAAACGCTAATGAAAAAAACTGCTTAATAGATTCTGACTTGTGTCCTTAATTTAAAAACACCCAGTGTTTATGTGCTTTTTTTTTTTTTTTTTTATGCACGTTATAGGGCTACAAGTACAAGAAGGACACTGCTGTTTCAAAATATATATTTTTAAATTTATCAATAGTGACATTGTAACACTGTTATCTGTCAAATATCTATGAATCAGACCTCACATGTACATATTTTTTTTTAAAGTAGACAACCCAGGATATTCAATATGGGGTATGTCCAGTCTTTTTTAGTAGCCACTTAATTACAAACACTGGCCAAAGTTAGCATTTATATTTGTTTGTGTGTTTAAAAATGCAAAAAAAAAAAAATTATGAATGCTAACTTTGGCCAGTGTTTGTGACTAAGTGGCTACTAAAAAAGACTGAACGTACCCCGTTTGCAATACCTTGGGTTATCTTCTTTTGCAAATGGTATTGCCATGGGGGTAATTCTCATTCCTGGGCTACCATACGCTCTCAAAGGTAACATAACCAACCTGACAATTTTTCAATGTAAAAAAATGTGACCCTTCTATTTGACCCTGTAACTTTCAATACTATAAAACATGTATATGGGGGTACTGTTATATTTTGGAGACTTTGCTGAACACATATTAGTGTTTCAAAACAGTAAAATGTATCACAATTATGTCATCAGTGAAAGTGCCGTTTGTGTGTGGAAAAATGCAAAAAACTTCACTTTCACTGACAATATCATCGCTGTGATATGTTTTACGGTATTGCAACACTAATATTTGTGTTCAGCGAAGTCTCTAGAGTAAAACCGTACCCCCCATGTACAGGTTTTAGGGTGTCATAGAAAGTTATAGGGTTATATACAGTGCTAGCAAATTAAATTCCCTAGACTTTTGGCCTGGATTGTCAGGCAGGTTCCTCAAATTGCAATCAATAAAATGACTTAATCATGTAAAAATATTATATAGCTATGCATGTAGAACTTAAATATATATATATACATATTTATATATTTGAAGTCTACGTGTATATTTATGGAATTATGTGGAGATAGATATAGATAGATAGAGATATATATATATATAATTTTGTATTTTTATTTATGTATTTATATACATACTGCTCAAAAAATATAAAGGGAACACAAAAATAACACATCCTAGATCTGAATTAATTAAATATTCTTGTGAAATACTTTGTTCTTTACATAGTTGAATATGCTGACAACAAAATCACACAAAAATAAAAAAATGGAAATCAAAATTTTCAACCCATGGAGGTCTGTATTTGGAGTCACACTCAAAATTAAAGTGGAAAAACACACTACAGGCTGATCCAACTTTCATGTAATGTCCTTAATACAAGTCAAAATGAGGCTCAGTAGTGTGTGTGGCCTCCACATGCCTGTATGACCTCCCTACAACGCCTGTGCATGCTCCTGATGAGGTGGCGGATGGTCTCCTGAGGGATCTTCTCCCAGACCTGGACTAAAGCATCTGCCAACTCCTGGACAGTTTGTGGTGCAACGTAACGTTGGTGGATGGAGCGAGACATGATGTCCCAGATGTGAACAATTGGATTCAGGTTTGGGGAACGGGAGGGCCAGTCCATAGCATCAATGCCTTCGTCTTACAGGAACTGCTGACACACTCCAGACACATGAGGTCTAGCATTGTCTTGCATAAGGAGGAACCCAGGGCCAACCGCACCAGCTTATGGTCTCACAAGGGGTCTAAATGATCTCATCTTGGTACATAATGGCAGTCAGGCTACCTCTGGCAAGCACATGGAGGGCTGTGCAGCCCCCCAAAGAAATTCCACCCCACACCATTACTGACCCACTGCCAAACCGGTCATGCTGGAGGATGTCGCAGGCAGCAGAACATTCTCCACACCATCTCCAGACTCTGTCACGTCTGTCACATGTGCTCAGGGTGAACCTGCTTTCATCTGTGAAGAGCACAGGGCGCCAGTGGCGAATTTGCCAATCTTGGTGTTCTCTGGCAAATGCCAAACGTCCAGCACGGTGTTGGGCTGTAAGCACAACTCCCACCTGTGGACGTCGGGCCCTCATACCACCCTCATGGAGTCTGTTTGTGACCGTTTGAGCACACATGCACATTTGTGGCCTGCTGGAGGTCATTTTGCAGGGCTCCTCCTGTTCCTCCATGCACAAAGGTGGAGGTAGCGGTCCTGCTGCTGGGTTGTTGCCCTCCTACGGCCTACTCCACGTCTCCTGATGTACTGGCCTGTCTTCTGGTAGCGCCTCCATGCTCTGGACACTACGCTGACAGACACAGCAAACCTTCTTGCCACAGCTCTCATTGATGCGCCATCCTGCATGAGCTGCACTACCTGAGCCACTTGTGTGGGTTGTAGACTCAGTCTCATGCTACCACTAGAGTGAAAGCACCGCCAGCATTCAAGTGACCAAAACATCAGCCAGGAAGCATAGGAACTGAGAAGTGGTCTGTGGTCACCACCTGCAGAACTACTCCTTTATTGGGGGTGTCTTGCTAATTGCCTATAATTTCCACCTGTTGTGTATCCCATTTGCACAACAGCATGTGAAATTGATTGTCACTCAGTGTTGCTTCCTAAGTGGACAGTTTGATTTCACAGAAGTGTGATTGACTTGGAGTTACATTGTGCTGTTTAAGTGTTCCCTTTATTTCTTTGAGCAGTATATATATATATATATATATATATATATATAGGCCAAAGTTAGCGTTCATAATTTATTTTTGCATTTTTAACACACAAAACAAATAAATGCTAACTTTTGCCAGTTATACTTTCATTTTGGAAAAAATTAAAAATTTACCTTGAGTTCCCAACAATACTCACTCTAGTGACTAACACGGATAGTGATTTAGCTCCTATGTGGCAGATAACTGATCTTTGAGACTGCAATGGCATACTGTATTTAACAAAACGGTTTCATAAATTTAACACTCCAAGCATCATCATTATAGTGCCAGGGGTGTTCTGGTGGCCCCGTTGTAAGGAGTGAAACCGGTTTTGAACAGTCTGACTTCTTACCAGGTATATGCCCGGCCCTGCTCCCCACCTCCACTATCTCCCAAGAGCTAGACATTCCTTAGCAGGAATTTCCATTAGTTCTACTTAGCTAAACCCTATAATGCAGTGTGGCTACAAGCCAATCAGCTAAGAAGCCATTTTATTACTTGTACCTTTAACAATGGTTATGCAATCTCCTCTCTCCCCCCGAAAAAACAAACAAGAAAACATCAACAACAAAAAAATCAATTTTTTAATTTTTTTTTTTAAATTAACTCTTACAAATTTATTAAAACAATCGTCATACATTTGATTATTAGTGTGACACAGGTGGCACCACATTAGACCTGGCAGAGAGGCTGACACTCTTACACGAAGGTGCGGCATGTAATACAACTTACTATATAATGTATATAGTTAAACTTGTCTCCAAAACAGCTGACAAGGCAAGAAGGAATTTTGACAAATTGACATTGTTCTACTGTGAATGGGTTATTTGGTTAAAACCCTGAGGGTGCATCGACTAAATGGGGAGAAGTGGAGAGTGTTGCTAAAATTAGATAAACACAGCCCTGGCCAATCAGCATCTCCTCATTAAATGAATCTCTATAAGGAAAGTTCAGTGTCTGCATGCAGAGGGAGGAGACACTGAATGTTTGGATGCATTTTAGGCAGCCATGACTCAGAAAGGATCTCTAACAGCCATCTAAGGAGTGGCCAGTGAAGTTATCACTAGGCTGTAATGTAAACACTGCATTTTCTCTGTAAAGACTGTGTTTACAGCCTGAATGTAATGATTCTACTCAGCAGAACAAATTCAATAAGCTGTAATTTTTCTGGTGACTATAGTGTCCTTTTAAAGGAATACTCTTAGCACCATGAGCATTATAGCATGCAGAAGCAGTTATGATGCCAGTTTGTAAACGGCCCAGGGCACCATAACCCCTACAGTGCACTGTGATGTTTGTGGTGCTTAGAGTATGCCTTTACCCAGACAATATGGAATGCACTACATTTCAAGTCAATAAAACTGTGCTATTATTGCAGTCAAACAAGGATGCTAGAAATAAAACACTGATTTATATGGGAACGTACTACTTAAAGGGACACTCCAGGCTGGAAATTACATTTATGCAGAGTACGGCTTTCAAAAATAAAAAAAATCTATTTATGCTAAAGAAAATACTAACTTTCTAATTTATGGCATTTGCTGCTAAGTCCCAAACTTTGCAGGTTCCAAAGTGAGTTCTAGCCAAACCAAAACCAAAATGTGACAACAAATTGTGGCGCTGCTTTAAATTTTATGATCATATGATGCACATCATATAAACCCTTGCACAGTAACCTACCTGCAATGCCTCTTTAATAGACTGACTTCCAACATAGGAATTTTCCTAATCAAACATGGCAGCAAATACATTTCTCCCACACCGCAAAAAAGTACAGGAATCTTTGAAACTAGCATAAATAGCATAGCCCACTGCCAATTAATCTATTTGTGTAATTAGTTCCATAAACCCTAACAGATGAAAAAGGTGAAATAGAATGGTTAATCGCGGAAAGAAAATGTCAGTAAGTATTAAACAGTTTTTGTATTATCTGCTTCACGCTCTCAGGGATTTAGAGTTTTGAACAGGGTTTCATTGAATAACATTGCTCTATTACTGGGTAGAGTTACATTCTTGTCCATATTTTCGCAGACAGCAGCCATGGTGACAAGCACACAATGGTGCAAAGTGGGTGCTTATTGGTGTATTTGTGGTTGAATTGTGATTCATGGCTAGTGAAATATGTAGTCAAGGATTTTTGCTGCGTGTAATTACTATATGGATACCTTATGGAAACTCTTATGAAGTACCAATAATTTCTGCTTGATTGTGAGTTGCTTGACAAAAAGAACCGTTTTAATTTTACCCATTTCAATCACATTGCTCTATAATCCTCACTAGTATTAAAAGAGTCCTTTTCAATATAAACTTACTATGATGGGGTCTAATTTGATAGTGCATGGAGAAATGGGTAGTTCCCTTGACGACGACAGAGGACGAGTCAAAGTTTATTATTTGGAGAATACTTAATACATCTCAACAACTTAAAATCCTTTAGACAAGAAGGTATTCACTGAGAACAACCATTAGACAAAAGGGACTTGATTTTAACATTTTTTACACTGTACTGGAATGTTCTTTTTTGTCCCGTGATTCTAGACACTCGAAGCACTGTAACTGCTTCATCTCATCTGAAATGGTTATAATGTCTGTAGTTCCTTGGCTCTGTCCTACTGTTCACTGTAAAGAAGTTTTTAGGTCTCTGTGCTGCTTGCTCTAATGAGGAAGTATTAATCTGAGCAACAATGGGAGGCTGTGATTGGTTGGATGGCACCTGACCACTTTCAGCCTAACAAAGCCACCCATTGATGGTATGAATTTGGATGTTAGAAAAAGTATAACCTCTGCCATACCTTCATTGGTGGCCTGGGACACTGATTCAGTGTTAAACTGCTTAAAAATGATTTAAGACTGAATGGAGGGACAATGCCATGGGCCTCCAGGCACTATGTCCTATTAAATGAAATAATTTAAATGCATACAGTGATCCTGTCACCACTTGACCAGGGCTAAGCAACTTTGGCATTCCAGATGTCGTGTACTACATTTCCCCTGATGCTTTGTTAGCATTATGGTTGTAAGCTCATCATGGAGATGTAGCCCTCAACATCTGGAGTGCCGAAGGTTGCCTATCCCTGCACTTATCCAAGTCCCAAAAGAAAATTAATTTCAAGCCATTATATGGAGTTCCTATAAGAAGAAATAGCTTTGTAAGTACATTGGTTCCCCAGGAAACTGACAAAGTTTTTCTAGCAGCAAAGCCCCTTCTGACACTGGGAGGGATTTAAAGATGTTTTGTACACATTAGAAGAATGTATCTTGATCAATTTATTTTTCATCTGAAGGATGCAATTTCCAGAATAACGCCATCTACATACTTATAAAGTTATAGAGAACCAAAGCAGCAGCACCTGTGATTTTAGGACCTTAGCTGGCACTACAACGATGAAAGAGTTATTCATGTAACACCAAATTTTAGCAAAATAAATCATAATGGCAAAATTGAGGCTAAAATAGCTGTAACTAAAACTGGTTTCCAAATCAGCTACTTAAGCCTTTACTTTGCCTATTTGGGTTTCATTTGATTAAAGCAGGTGTTTAGTGAAAACTCTTGACAGTACTCTGAAAGTCTCAGATATAAATCAAAATTTCATTCATGCAACCTAAACAAACATATTTCCTTTAAACAAATATATCTATTAACCAATTTAAAAAAAAAAAAAAAAAAAAATGAGCTTGATTATAATTTGAGATGCATTTTGTAAGGAAGGTTGTGCTTCACTGATCTGCTATTGTGAATCTGCAGATGCCAGCTTGAAAGCAGGTTTGTGCTACTGATAACTGTGCAATAGATTTAAAAAAAAAAAAAAAAAAAAAAAAAAAAAAAAAAAAAAAAAAAAAAAAAAAAAAAAAAAACCCTGCTCTGCCTTATCTCTCAATACATTTAGGCTGCATAACTTATATTGAAATCAGGAAACAAATAAAACATAATAAAAAGCACTAAAATGCACAACATGCTAATAATGGTCAGTTTAGATTAAATTTTGGTGCAAGATTGTACAAAGTAATTTTGATAATATGCACATTTAAGGCTACACATTCTTTCAATGACAACTAATATGTAAAAAAGGCACACAGTTTATACTGATTCAGAACAGTTTACAAGGAGACCATTAACCCTTTTGGTGCTGGAAGAGCCTGCAACAAGAGGTGTGGTTATGCATTGACCTTCAACAACATGGCACTTGGGGAACTACATTAAAATAACAGTTTGTGATCTGTTCAATCTCACAGAGAAAATCCTCACCAAAAAAGTCACATTCACCAGCATGGGAATTGCTTCTCTAACCATAAAAATAGAACCCGTTCAATGAACGATCCATTCTGATACAATAGGCTCTCTCAACAATAAACCTTTTTCTTTTTCATTAATCCTCTATAAAAAATAATTCCCTCTCCGATACTAAATGTGTCATAGGAATCTTCAAATATGAGGTTAAACCTTGCTTTGTAGTTTACACCCTGCTAATATTTTGGAAAGACAAAAAAGGAAGTATTTCACAGTTTATACATACAACTTATGTACATATTAAAATAGTCCCACCATGTGCGGCAGATATTATCCACGTCTGTGTAACAACGTCATACTTTAAAAATGGCCTTTAGAGCCCCCAAAAAAGCAAAACAAAACACGGCATATAACAGCGTTTCCGCCTCCATTATCCGTGCTGTGTTGAAAGAAGAAGTAAAAAAAAGAAAGAAAAAAAAAAGTCTAAAATCTACGTGGATTAAAGATATGTCAATGTTGTACACTGCATTCAGCATGTGAGAAATCCATTTTCCCTACTTTCAGTCTGCAAATTCTCATTATTCTTTAGATGGAATATAAAATGTTGCTGATGCAGAGGTCTTGAAAATGATTTCCAGCGACAAACTGTTTTACCACCATTATTTCTTTCTTTTCTTTCTCAGCGGCTCATCTTCTGAACTACTGTCTTCGTCGCTGCTGCTGTCATCGCTACTGGTGGTGGTACTGCTGGTTTCGGAGTCAGATTCAGATGATGAAGTTGAGCTCTGGGAGGACGGAGAAGAGGAGGAGCTTGATGAGCTTTTGTCGCTATCCTCAGAAGATGAAGAAGAGCTGGAGGAGTCTTCACTGTCTGAAGAGGATTCGGTATCAGAGCTGCTGCTGCTACTGCTACTGCTGCTGTTACTACTGGAGCTTGTAACACTTTTTGATCTGAAAGATTAGAGGTACTGTGTTTCAGTAACCATTCTCCATAAAAAATACAGATGTACTGGTAAGATTATAAAACAGATTTATCAATGAGTGAGGAATAAATTCAGAGATCTCATTACCAATAACCAATGCAGAGGTTCCACTTCTGAGATGGGTATTTTTTACTATAGGTTTATTTGGACTGGGTTATCAGCCGCAGTGACCCAGACGCTAGAAAATATTATGGGAGTGTTTACATTTTAAAATATAGGATTCAATTTAATATTGTAAATTCAGCTTTTCAAATGATTTTTATTAACTTATTAAAAAAAAAAAAAAAAAATTCACACAATTAAAATATTTTCCATAACATTAAATTGTTTTAAAAATTTAGACAAAAATATTAAAATTACTTGGACAGCTTATCCAACAATATGAAATTGAGGCCATAGTTGGCTACAAGTGGACAGTAAAAAAACAACAACAACAAAAAAAAAATCCAATGAATCCCCAAAAATATGCATGACCCACTAGCTTCTAGGATTTGTAGAATACTTGATTCCCTTCAAAATAAAATATCAATTAATCTAGCACTCTCTGCAAGCCTTGAAGAATGGTTTGTTAGGCAGTAAAAACATAGCAATTTTTTTATAGGGCAATGGCAAGCTATACCAACTCTGCAAATATTAAAGGACATACAAAAGTGTTTGGAGATTGAGAGAGAATACAGTACATTTAATTGCAAATTTGCTACCCAGCAGCTACTAACCTTTTTGTACTGTGATCGGGGATTTATGGATGTTACACCAAATTAACACCCATCTCTGCAAAGAAGGGCAATCATCATAACACATGGTGCTAACTTAATTGCCATCTAAATTCTATTTCTACAATTTGCTAGCAAGCAAAAAAGAAAGAAAGAAAGAAAGGAAAGTGGTGTGAGGTGGAGATGGGAACATGCATAACGAGCTAAAGACAGAGGTTTGGCATAGGAGCAGACTCCATAGACTCGAAAGAGAGGATCCTGATTGTTGGAACTGCCTATTATTGCAATGCAGGAAGGTGCAACCTTAAAAAGATAATGCAGACGTATGACTTCACTATTTTTGGAGTGACCACAGAAAGACAGAAAAGGAGTGTGTGGTGCTCTTGGTCTCACTGCACCTTCACCACCACAATTAGCTGCAACACCATGACTCAGTTTATGACAGAAAGAATCTCACCTTTTTTTCTTTCCTTTTGTGTCTGGAACATTGTTGCCACTGCTTTAAACAAAAAGAAACAGACTGTTAGTTTACAGGTTCAGTATTCATAAATTACAAGATGAAAAGTCTGCGAGGGCCATTTGCCATTAATCCATAGACAATTGTCTATTCATTCTGTAAGGATTTGTTGTTTGCTTAAAGGAACACTCCACGCATCATAATGTGCCAGGACTACCCCCTCTCCCCAACCTATAAGTAATTAAATGGTTATAGAATACTTTGACTTCTTACCATTCATCCACTACTCTACTCAGTGGGCAGTAGAGACAGTGTGTATTTAGGAGCTTCTGCCAAAGCTGACCTAAGCTTATAAGCGGACTATATCAGATGATCCCCCTTTAGTCAATGAGCCAAGCCCTGCAAACTTAACTTAGCTCAGGCAATCAACTTCCAACTGGCCTCAAGGATGAAGCTTAGGTCATGAATTTACTTAAAATCTTACCCTACCCATATACATTGAATACACCATATAGCATAAAGATACATGGTATATTCAATGTAAAATATAGAAATTTACTCCTTTCCTGCAACTTCTTCATGGGTGTTATACTCTTCGTATAACACTCACCTGTGGTCGTCCTTTGCTGCGCCACCTGTATAATTTGATTGGCCTTGCTTGGGACGCTTCCCCATACAGGGAAAATCTCAGTGACATCAGCACGCTGGCTTAGTTGCCAACATCAGAAAAGAGAGACGTCATGTCATTCCGTTCCTATACTCCCTAGCTGGTGATAGAAGCGTGCACTATTGTTGCTATGAGCGGAGAGCAGGGGGACTTGCTGTGGGAGGTCGTTTCTACTCTCCCTTGTCAGTCAATGCCTCAGCACGCAGTTGAGTAACAGATGGAAGAAAAACATTTTTAAATAGGTTTTTCTCCTAATCCATACTTCAGCTAGCAAAGCTGTAAGCACAATGTATAGATAGAATCTTATGCTCAATCTAACGAGCATAAATTGTTTGGAGCATGACAGTTCCCCTTTAAGTTCTGCCTTTGTCTAGCAAAAGAATAACTTTATTGAAGTGACTTATAGAAACTGGGCCAAAATTCAGACTAGTATTTTACAGATAAATATCTTATTTGTTAGTAATTATAACATGTACTTGAAACACAATAATTGAACTAAGTCTTTGAATATTCATCATGGGTAATTTCACAAAGTAACCGAGTAAAAATAGTGGAAATTTATTTTCAAAATGGCAGTTCCAGGTTTTTGACGCAATGACCTTACCGCTGCCACTTTGCAATCCAAAGAGCCAAACATTGCAAGGCGGCAAATTAAGCTTATTTAAAAGATGTCATCTTCTGTAACTAGTCAAACAAATCTTAATACATACATGAAGCATCTATTGTATGTAATGTTTGAAATTGGTTTATAAATAAATTTAAAAAGTTAATGACTCTTCAAACTGAACTCTGAATTTTGGCCCAAACTTTAGATTAGTACTGTGACTTTATAGGCATTTCTGCTAAACTGTGTTTTGTAGGTTTTTAAATTTAATTTGGTTGGGGCATTTTAATACTGTAAAGTCAGTATGATGTTTACATTTTAGAAATATCAGTGCAAAATTAACCTTAAAGCGGCACTGCCATACCAAACTAACCTTTCCCCAATCGCTTCCTCTTCTCTCCCTCTCTCATGATCTGTTGTTCTTTTTTTCCTATTGAATCTAATTTTCTTTAAAACATAAGACAAAGTAGGGACTATTTTGTCTTATGTATTTTTCCTACGCTTGCCCAGCTTTGACCCAGGGGAGGAGCTAAGTCCGCTCCATTTCCTGTGGTCAAAGCAAGTTCCCATAATACTCATCTTCCTCCTGTTGCTTCATTCGGCATTTGAACACTGGCGAAATTACTGAATTTCGTCCAGTATTTTAGGGAGCTATTTACTATTAGGCTGAAAAAACAAAAATTGGTCTTTCAGCCAAATTTACTAATACTAAGTGAAGATTACTTCGTATTAGTAATTAATCTGCCCCTGCTCGCTATACCGTGAGTAGGGGCATGTCTACTAAACAGTGAGCAGCCAGTGGGGACCCTAAGCTACAAAGGGTAGGGAGCACCTACTGTCCCATCCCCCACCCATGAGTGGTTTATGGGTGGAGGTCCTAAATGACAATGTCTACTAAACAGTGAGCAGCTAGTGTCCTACCTCTGTCCCCACCCATGAGCGGCAGGTGGGGGCCCTAAGCTACAAATGGGGGGGAGCACCTACTGTCCCGTCCCCTACTCATGAGTGGCTTATGAGTGGGGGTCCTAAATGACAATGTAAAAAAAATAATAAAATCATACTTACCATTAGCAGTCTTCTTTATTCTAAAATCTTTTTATGAGCCCCCAAAAAAGGTCAAACAAAAATCCATAATTCCCGTCGAAAAAGAATAACAAAACACACCCAAAAAAATAAAAATTTCCAGACGCAAAAAAACAAAAAACAAAAAAAAAACAAAACAAAACAAAAAAACGTATAAATGTGGAAATGCTTATAAAACCTTCCCAGGCACTGCAATTTGACTCACGGCGCTCTGATTGGTTGGTTTAAAGGAAAACTCCAAAACCTGCTTACATAGAATATGAAAAAAAAAAAACAAACAAAAAAAAAAACCCTGATTGGTTACTAGCAAGACTTAAAAAGTTGTTCCCCCCCCCCCCATATTCTGTGTAAGCAGGTTTTGGAGTTTCCCTTTAACAAGTTATAGAACTATGACCAAATACTTAAAGGGACTCTCCAGTGCCAGGAAAACAATCTGTGTTCCTGGCACTGCAGGTCCCCTCTCCCTCCCAATCCCCGGTTGCTGAAGGGGTGAAAACCCCTTAAGTCACTTACCTGAGACCCCCGCCGATGTCCCTCGGCAGTGGTTTCGGGTCACCGCCGCTCCTCCTCCTCTTCATTACGTCGGCCGGTGGGCGAGACTGATCCCGCTGGCCGGGGAGACCTAATGCGCATGCGCGGCAATGCCTTGCATGCGCATTAGAGCTCTCCATAGGAAAGCATTGAAAATGCTTTCCTATGGGGAATTGAGCGACGCTGGAGGTCCTCACACAGTGTGAGGACGTCCAGTGACGCTATAGCACAGAAAACCTAACAACAGAAGACTTGGGCAGCATTGGACATGGGCAATGCTGATTGGTTAACAGCGGCAAGCTGACGCTCTAAACCTGGGGTGCGCAAAAGGTAGATCCACAGAGGTTTTAAAACTACAGCTTCCATTATGCTTGGTTATTTTTAAAGGCAAGCAAACCATCAAGGGATCTACCTTTTGGGCACCCCGCTCTAAACCAATCACTAGTTCCCCATTCATAATTTAAAAAAAAAAAAAGGGTACGCACCACAATTTCGTGAATGGTTTAACCACTAAACGGAAGCCAATGAAAGGGCCTTCTGGCACCATAACAACTTCATTTAAAAATACTGATTTTTTTTCAGCTCTCGCGAGAATTACCTTTGGCCTATAATCATCCTTGCCTCTCTTTCTTTCAAGGTTTTCTTTAGTTCAGCTGTTCGGGAAGGTCTGTACACATATTTCCTTTTTCCACTGCATTCATAGCTCCAGTGTCCAATCTCGAGGCACTTCTGACAACGCACATTCTGCTTATTTGCTTCACTACCAGCAAAATAAACAGAACAGTTAGTAAATTGCACTCAATCAGTAAAACAGGTTATATCAAGTACCACGATCAAGGACTAAACATTTTTTGGTAACCGACTAATTTCTGGTTATCTGGTAGAAAATCTCTGCACTCATACCATTTTTGTTGCCTTACCAGAAGCAGTAACAAAGTTACTTTTGTTAGATTATGACACAGAAGGATTGGCCTGCTTATCATAGAGGTGTACCCTTCCCAAAAATCCCAGCTCACTAACTTATTATTCAAAGAGAGATAAAGCCACTTGCTCAGTGCAGCACATCCACTCTAAACAAATGAATATAAAAAGCTCAGAATGGCTGCAAAATCTAGGCATCTTCCTGTTTAAATAAAAGGTGGGTGAAGGATGAGGGTTAGGAGTAAATCAGCGAAATTGGGCCATTCTGAAGTACCAACTCCCACCATGTTTTCTAAAATTGGTACCATCCCTTCCCAGCTTATTTTTAAAGGGTTACTCTAAGCACCATGGCCACTTCAGTGATTGCCTGGAGTCTGTATACGTAGTGTTTCACTATGAAATGCTGCAAACATGGAGTTTAACCCCTCTGTTGACAGAGATGTAACTCCAGCCAGCCTGGAACTAAAATGTTAGTTCTAGAGTTGACGTTCCTATGCTCAGAATTGCAATCATTGGCTGAGAGGTCAGCTAACGTTCTCAGTCAATGAATGGCTGGCAGGAACAGCATCCGGCTCTGCAGAAGCCAGATACAAGTCACAGCCACACTTAAAAGTAGATCAGGTGTCTGGTAGGACCAGGTAAGAGAGCAATATGTTACAAAACGGTTTGCACCATTGGCGCAAAAAAGAACAGGGTACTCACATCATATCTATTACAGCGGGCTATAGAGGTTATGATGCTTAGAGTAATCCTTCAACTAAATTTTCTACCACTGACCATCATAATGCCCATTTCTATTTTTTCAAAAAGTCTTTTATTTCTTAACTTGTAGTTCAACACTTTTACAAATGATGCGAATGAGTAGAGCTTGTGTAAACTGCTGATGCCATGTCAACTTTTTTTATTTATTTTTTTTTAAATATACTTCTAAGTATCTCCTCAAACACACTTTTCTTGACAAAAGATACTTTCACAATAGCAGGTTATGCTTTATAAGGGCATGTGTAAGCTTGAGATCGCTGATGTGAGGAGGGAAGAATGAACACTGTGTGTGCAAACTTAAGCATGTGCAAGAATAAATGAGGAAGGCTATGTATGGCATTGGAGGGGGAAGGGAAACCTCCAAAGAAATATGGTAAATCAAAAAGTATCAATGCAGCTCTGTTTTTTTGTTTTACTCTACCTCAGATTCTTTTGATATTAAATGCCTCCCCCATGTATTGTTTCCTTCAGTTAACCGATTGTCCCTTTTTATTATAAACAAATTTAATTGCAGCACTGTCCCAATGGGTGTCACATTAAGTACCCTGGCAGTGATGTGTAGTCTTTGCCTTCTTCCTTACTCCAGTGCTACGGAAACAACACTTGCTTTGCATGCCCAAGAACCCAGAAGCACAGGCAAGTGTATAGAGTATGCACAATTCTTGGGGAAGAACAAAAGATGGTGATTATAAACGAGGGATGAGTATGCTAGAAAAAGTAAACTTGACAAATCAGTCTTGGCAAATTCTAAAACCATGAATGTTGCATAAGTACAATCGTCATTAAGCAAAAGCAACATAGAAATTGCAGTTCTACAACATCTACAGTTTTAGAGGGTCTACAGTTTTTCCACTGAAGAAAGAACCATGCCAAGAGCAGTGCATGTACAGTCTGAAGCTCAGTTGATAGTAAAACACTGCTCGGTTCCCTTAACAATGAACCAGGCTGTGCATAAGCCAATAGCAGGAGAGGCATGGCTGATAGTTTACTGACCATTTCCAAATCACGCTATGTGATTACTGCAACCACTCTTTGTAGATAAATTATATAAAAATTCTGATGGAGAGAAGTTTATGTAATACTATCAGGTCCCATAAACCAGGATAAGTGTCTCAGCCAGGTGTGGGAGGGGTCTGCCGCTCTAGTATCTAGTACACTATAGACTGAACACAGGGGGCAGGAATGAGAGATCTGTCATGTTTCACAGGTGGTCCATTGGATCCCATGTAAATATTAGCCTGTCACCTAGTCCATCAATTGTTGCCTATGCCCTAACCATTGATTAAAATACATTATTTACCAAACTATGTTTGTTGTAATGTAGCACCCAGACTTTGTCTTCTGGACTTTTGCCTTCTTAGTTTCTGTGTGCTAGCGTGCTCACTGAAGAATCAAATAACTAGGCTGGGATAACATCATTCTGCGTTTTACTGATTTATCAAGTTGTGCGAACAAGAAACAACTAGCACTGCAGAAGCAGGGGGTAACTTTTAGGGTCCGCTACAAAATAGGATTGGTGATGGCGTAGTAGAACATGGGCTAAAATAGAGAACATGTGGGTTTACAGAAAGACACGGTCAATACTAAATTATGGCTTTAAAAAATAAAATAAAAAAGTAAGATAATTAAACGATTTAAAATACATTATCCAATTTAAAAATGGGTATATGTACAAGTTTTAGTCTTATTCCTAACTGGTCTGTGAACATATTTCATATCATTTTGAAAAACAACCATATAGCTCAGAGATTGCTAGCTTTTGATCCTCAGCTGTTTTCCAGCAGAAGTTGATTTTTTTTAAATTTTTTTTTAGGACTTTTCTTGGGAGTGATAGTCCTGAACAGCTGTTTAGACACTGACACAGGATGCCCCAAACGATGTCCTTTCAAGCCTGTTGTATTGCTGCAGCACAGACCCCTGAAAGCATCGATCCCCCCGCTATAAGGACTGCCCTACACGATGGCTGTAGTGGTCACATAACTGGCGTTCGCGTACAGCACCACGACATATGTTATCGCCACATACAATCCAGCTGGATTTCAGACACACCATGGCTTCAACGACTTTCCTGTGAAGTGTCACAGCCTGCTATGGGTGGCAATAGGGCACAAACTGATATAAAACACATGGAGAACTAATAGGAAATAACACGGTACCCGACCCCCCCCCAAACTTGTACCACCTACCTCTGGATCACCCACCGCCCTAACCATTAACCCGCCCGCCCGCGTAGCTAGTCTCGCTGTGAATGTGGCTCGGCCAGCGAGCTCCCCGCTTTACTTACGCCTGTCTGCGGGCGATCAGCCGGTGCATGGGGGTAGCCATCTTGGCGAAGGCCAGTAGTTGGCTCAGTGCATGCTGGGAGATAAAGGGAAGGAAGTGGCAGCCGGAAGCGGATATTCCGCCATTGGGATGGTGTTTGGGGGAAGAAGCTGTGTGTGTTTGTGTGGGGTGGTGTAATAAGACGTCCAGCTCCATTATAACGGCCATGCTCTCTGTATAGAGCCGACATCGGGTTACATTAATGCTGAGAGATATACAGAGCTGTTATTAGGGAAGGGGGTGTGTGTGTCTGTGAGAGGCACTGTATTTATGTGACAGGGTCTGTCTGTGAGAGGCACTGTATTTATGTGACAGGGTCTGTCTGTCTGTGAGAGGCACTGTATTTATGTGACAGGGTCTGTCTGTCTGTGAGAGGCACTGTATTTATGTAACAGGGTCTGTCTGTGAGAGGCACTGTATTTATGTGACAGGGTCTGTCTGTGAGAGGCACTGTATTTATGTAACAGGGTCTGTCTGTGAGAGGCACTGTATTTATGATAGGGTCTGTCTGTGAGAGGCACTGTATTTATGTGACAGGGTCTGTCTGTGAGAGGCACTGTATTTATGTGACAGGGTCTGTCTGTGAGAGGCACTGTATTTATGATAGGGTCTGTCTGTGAGAGGCACTGTATTTATGTGACAGGGTCTGTCTGTGGGATAAAACAGTATGTGAGGGACAGACAGTGAAAAGCCTAGTGTGAGAGACAGTATGTGGGGGGACACGGTGAGTGGCCTAACGTCAGAGTAAGGGTTAGAGGTGCCAACAGAATTTTTTTCAAGGGGGTGGGTGATGGTAATATAACTTATTTAGGCCTAATTTTAAATGAATAGGCACATTTTAGCATGGGGCATTTTACTCGCCCTAAAGTGTTTACGCACATGGCTTTGGTGTATGGTGGCAGACTCCGTGGAACATAAAGAATTGTAAGTGTGCAAAAGATACAGTGACCAAGTTACCTGTGGCTCTAGCATTGTGCATCTTGGTTTCTTTATACAGCCTTACAATAAAGATGATGCTTAAAAGGTAGCACAGGGAAAAACACTCAACATGCCAACCAGACTTTTCTTTTGGAATCTTGTGGATTCTTAAGGGGGAAAAAAAAAACCAACTTTTAAACTTTACTTTTTGTTTTGACCTTTGTAAGTTTCCTAGACCAACATTGTTTTACAGGCTTCATTTTTATTTTTAAAATCTACTCACCCTTGAAAGGATTTCGTTAAGTCTGGCCTCTCTAAGGACCAGTAATATGTCTTTCTGTCCCTGTCTCTCTCCTTTTAGCTTTTCTAGTAGCCTCTGAGCTGTATTTTTTTTTTTTTTTAAGTGAGGGTTAGAGATAAGGTGAAATCCTGTGCTAAAGAAATTCACATATACAAAATCAATGTGAAAATCTAATTACTTTTTATTTAGCCTGATAACCATTGTTGGAGACAGAACACTGGGTGCAGGCTAGCCACTAAGCTCAATGACTCCTCGGAGCTTTCCACTTCTTAGAATCTACGCAATTGTTAGTTATCTCCTTAAAGCAAAGGAACAATATTGCTACAGAAAAAATGCACTAAACTGGCCGATTCTGCCCAAATTCCTAAAATCAAAAAAATAAGTCCCACTAAGCTCTCTAACTTTTATTTTGGCTAACAATGTTTATATTTTGCTGTACAATTGATAACCAATCATGGTTTAGTCAGTTATAGTCAGTTGGCGCTCATGTTAGGAGCTCAATGGAACATATATTGTAACATTTGTCGATATAGAAATCCAGTGGTGAACATATTGTCTAATATTTCTCAGTTTAGACTTGTTTTTTTTGTTTTGGTCTAGCCACTCTCGACAAAAAACACATCCAATGTTGTGTATCTTAAAATCATTCAAATCTTTCTGTATTTTTTTTTTTAATTTTTTATTTTTTTTATTCATGCAACAGCAATGCTATAAACTCAACAATTATGTTGCTACCCCAAGTCTTTTGTGACAACATAGCACTTTTTCACGACCATACAAACAAAATAAATATGCCAGATGGCACAGATTTAGCCATCCGACAAGCTCACCACTGTCAGTAAATTTAAAGGTTGCCCTCTGAAATTCACAGACTGGTAAGATCAGGCATCTGGATTGTACAACATTACAGAATTTGTTGGGGCTTTATAAATAAGCTAAAATAAAGAAACTGAATATCCTGCATTAGTGCTACCATATATATTAAATATATATAAAATTTTAAAAATCCCAACCACCATAAATATATAGAGTCAATTACTAAACATACCTTAGAGCAGGGATAGGTGACCTGTCTCTAAAAACACCTTGGGCACAACTGGGTAATCTCTTAATGCTGGAGTGGTTTGGAAACCACTGCCTTTGAGCAATCATTCTTGAATATATAGAAATCACATAACATTCCAGATCTGGATATGTAGTCCCTGCAGGTATAATTGTCTGGCATAAAAAAAATGAAGGGAATAACTATTAAGGCTGGAAATCACCACAGGGTCTTGAAACCCTTATCCTCCTATGGACTTGTGCACCAACAAAGAAGTTTCTGCTTTCCTTTCTCTCTAATCAGCTGCTTGGAATACTCAGTGAAGTCACACCACTCAGATGTAGTATCCATAAGCATTCAAAGTTTTTAATGCGTAGTACATCGTGTATATATAAAACCGTTTTGTCTAGGGGTGTATACATCAACGGCAACATTAACCAATCATGGACGTCTCAGAACCCAAAGTATAACTTTTTGTAATGCGGTAAGTCTCCTGTTGACTGATGCAAACGACAGTTTTAGCTTTAGGAACCCAATTAAGAATTGCGGGTGTTAGAAAGAATGCTATTTCCCCCCCACCCCAAGTGCAGGATCTTTATAAAGATAGCGAAAGCTGGTGTCGGGTGCAAGAACAGAAAACTATTTTTTTTTTTTTTAAAGTGAAATTAACCCTTTCAAAGCATGAGTATCTTGTATTCTAGTCAGGCTTACTGACCATTCAATCTTCCCAAGTCCTGTATATACTTTTAGCTAGTAATCAGAAATAGAAAGCAGGACATGAGTCTGACACTCTGTGACATAAAATGTATAGCTCTGTATGTCTAGGGGAATATTCACTAAGCATTGCATAGGTAAAAACATTTTTTCCCAACAAACTACTTTAAAGTATATACGCAAGCACTTTTACTATCCAGTCTCCTAACTTTGAGCTCACTGTATACATGGCATTGGATATGTGTATCCAAACATTTTTACTGTTGTGGGGAGATCACCCACCTGGGTAAAAGAGGCAAAAGCTGCAGACCATCTATAAAGTCTCTATAATCTATAAAGTTGCAGTGTGAATTTCAGAAGTGAGTACCTATCAAGAGCAAAAATGAACTTATTGAATTTTGATCCACCTTATTCTCATGAAAAGAAACCCTAAGCTTTCCCCACCAGCCTGGCAGTTATGTGGATGAAATGGATTTAACCCCTTAAGGACACGTCATGTGACATGTCATGATTCCCTTTTATTCCAGAAGTTTGGTCCTTAAGGGGTTAAGGAAGTCTTTCTTGTTAGTGCGACATTTTTTATGTTGCGCTTACGTCAGATGACACCCAGCCACACTCTTGCCCTGCACAGAAGTAACTAATTGAGAACTTATCTGACTGTACCCATAACTTGTGTGGTTGCACTCTTGATCCTACCATCCAAGAAGGGTATTGCCGATTTTAGTACTTTTCTAGGTAAAGTAATCTGCAAATAAAAGTGGGGAGTTTTGCCCCTCAAATGATATACCCAATTGCCTGACCTCGTTGAAGTCTTGGGAAATTTATATGTATAGTTTGCTGGAGGTTGAGGAAATGAGTAATACAGTTATTACTCTTCTACCACACAAGTATATTTGCAGCAGAGAATAGAGCAGGGGTGCTCAAGATGTTGTATAACTACAACTCCCATGATGCTTTCCATGGCTCAAAATTTCCACTACCCTTTAATCATTAAGTGAAAATCTACCCCTTTAAAGTATAAATTCTCCTTTGAGTATAATATGGCTTGCAGTGGCAAGAAACTTTTTTAAAGTGTCAGTAAAAAATAAATAAACAATGCTAATGCACTTAAGTCCAACAAGCCAAATTGGCACTATATTATAACCTTAATAAAACAACCAGGATATAATGTTCAATAAACAGTGCTAAGTGTTCTTTTCCCCATTCATATAGTAGCCAAAATGATCTAATGCATGGAACACTATGATCCCAGATGCGATAACATTGTTCATATTGAAGCATATAATTTAAGTAGAGGAAGAGGATCGGGGACCAAACTGAGGGCGAGCACAGTGATAAGGGATAAGTATATATATATATATATATACAGGGGGGACAAATAGCCCTACCTTTTATTGAACCTAATTAAAAACGTAGAAAACAAATAATCCACTATGGGAGAAGGATAAGTACTAGAGCAAAAATGTCTATAGGTAGAAGAAAAAACAGGGAGGAATCCCATATAATCTCTTCTTAGTAAGAAAGTTGTTCAGGGGGATAGAACATAGGGCTGAGGTTAAGAAGCCCAAAGGGGCATGGAAGTATTTCTGTATGCGTAGCTGCTATTAATATAACACATGCAGATAGTCACCTGGTCAATGGGCACCCCAGTGCAGGGGTATGGAATCTAAGCCACTGAATATATCTGCAGGGGGTCAAAGGGACTTGATAGGCAAATATAAAGACCTAAACAACTCCTAGTCAAAATAGCGTGCTACCTGAGATCTGTTATAGCTCAATGGTATCAGATAAACAATCAGCTTGGAGCCCTATACACATAGATATAAACTCAAAGGTAGCCTAAAAAGCAGTAACCAAAAGATGACCTAAATTGTTATCCCTAGAGTACCTCGGCACCGCACATTGCTAGTGCCTACCAGAACCGACTAACCCTAGTGTAACAATAAGGAAACTTAAAAAAATAAGTGCTAAACGTGCTACCCATGTGGAGAAAGTGTTTAAGCTTAAAAAGCCTGACGCGCGTTTCGGTGTGCTCACTCCCAGTCGTCAGGGAAAAGGATGACTGTGTGTGAGCACACCGAAACAAAAGTGTGTCCCCTTGTCTTGGTTGTCGTGTAGCAGGTTTTGGGTCTGTCCAGGCATAAAATTCCGTTGAGTGTATTTTTTATAGGGTAAGATGACATGAATATCTTGTAACTCGGGAAAGTGGTCAGGAGGTGATGTATGCTAGTGAAGTAAAGTTTAATGGTATTGTTCGTGGTTGAGGCAAAAAGATGTAAATGCCAACATGGTATCTATAGAGTATGGATTTGTGATTTGATATTCCTCACTAAATTTTGTGAAAATGCCTAGTGCCCTTTTATAGGAATGAATAGTATTGGCAGATAGGGCTGTGGGCCATGACATGCTAATCGAGTGTTGGGGTTTTGGTTGATTACTTGGCAGCCATGGGGTGTGCTCGGAAGAATTCCTGATAACGCGATTGTTATAAAGCATCAGCTGTGACGTTATGACGGCCTGGAAGATGCACGCAGACAATGTAAAAGGTGTGTTGCATGAAACAAAGTTAGTCTCCTAATTGGTCTTGTCGGTGAGGAGGAATACCCTTTTTGACAATTTCACAAGTTGCCTTATCACAATAATATTTGATGGACTTTCACCTCGAAAGAGCCCCCCTCATGCAAGTGCTGCTGCCACTTCTGGGCAAAGTCTGAAGAACGCACAGGTAGTCATCAGAGTAAATACTGGATTTCCACAGGCCAGGTGTCCAGGAACCAGGTTTTTTCGTAAATGGCAACAAAACCAGAGTAGGCTGCGGCAATCGTCCAGAGTACAGGTGAAACGTCCGATTTTTGGGGGAATGAACACTGGTTTCCTGTTCCAGTGGGACAGGAAAGTTTGCCACATGGTCAGGTCCGCCCTGGCATGTGTGTTTAGTGCCATGGAACTACTGTCGGTAGACAAACTAGGAAGTAAGCAGAGCAATCAGAAAATGAAATCAGCCTTGAGGAATAAAACACATGGCAAAGTTCAGGGTACTGTGAAGAGACTGGAGATGGTACAAATACATTTACTAAGGATTGATTCTACATTCTGCCTGAGGAGGCTAGACCGCATTGATATTGTGTTGTATACCCAAGAAAACTAGGTGGGGCTTATGGTTACATAGCTGAAAAGAGACTTGCTTCCAAGTTCAGCCTTCCTCACATATGTTATTGCTGTTGATCCAAAAGAAGGCAAAAAACCCAGTATGAAGTGCTTCCAACTTTACAACAGACTACAAAAAAATGCCTTTTTTACCCCAAAATGGCAGTCAGATATCTCCTTGGATCAAGCAGCTATTACCCTACTAATTAGAAATTTATATCCCTCTATATTTTGCAAGTATTTATCCAATACCATTTGCAGTTTAAACATCTGTATGGACTCTGATAAAACCACCTCTTCAGGCAGAGAATTCCATATCCTTATTGCTCTTACTGTAAAAAAACCTTTTCTTTGCCTTAGATGAAATCTCCTTTCTTCCAGCCTACATGTGTGACCTCATGTCCTATGTATAGCCCTGTTTATGAATAGATTTCCAGATAATGGTTTGTACTGGGGGTTGGTTTTGCATTCTTTGGCTATCAAGTTCTCATTTTCTAGTTTAGCCACTTTAATTGTCTTTTTGCAAATATTATTGGCTTTCTTATCTTATATAGGATGCCTCTGATTTTTATTGTATATATAATTTTTTTTTTATTCAATTCTTTAAATGTCCTTTTTTCTTTTAAAGCGGCACTGTCATGGCTGCATCCTTTTTTTAGCTGTTAACATTAATAAAACTTTAATTTTCCCCCTAATCCCATTTTTAAATAGTTCTAAATCCCATTACCTTTTTTGGAAGGTTTGCTGGGGTTCCGGATCTATTTCCAGTAGGTCGCCTTTTGCCGTATATCACGTGACCGCGGCTCCTTCATCTTCCCATACATATGGTTGTTTTCTTTGATGGCCCCATGACCATATATGGTGATGATCAGCACTCTGACCTGTGCTGAACATCACCATTGTTAAAATGTATTAATTTTCTATTTTTAATAGATTTCTATATCCTGCCTCCATTTTACCTTCTGCTCCCTCTCCAGATAGCCAGCTATCAGTCTATGACCTGCAGCTTTATTAGGAGGTATTATTTTCTTATATCTTTTTATTTATACATTTTAAATTGATTTCCCTTATTTTCACTATTTCCTTTCCATTTAGTGGACCTGCCCCCCCCAAATTCTACTCACACTACATTTAGCCAGCCTTCCTTGATTAATAATTATTTTTCATATTTTCCCTATTTAATTTCTATTTTCAGTTAGCTATTTAGTGGACCTGCCCCCCCAATTCCACTCACACTACACTTAGCTAGCCGGCCTTTATTAATAATTAGTTTGCTACACGTGGTATATCAAAGTGTTTGAATGTTTTAGCTGAAAGTGTTTGCTGCATGTGTGTTTTTTAGTTGAAAATAGTAGCTGTATGAGTTTGCTGTTACTGTTGTATGAATACATACAACATTAAATACATCAGATTCAAATACTACCAGATCCAACCTGTAACCCTAAAAGCAATCACCCTGAACCAGTGAAACTGAACCAATACGTGGCGTGGATTCAGTAAACAATCGAATGACAGCATAAAGTACTCATCCAAAACTTGTGTAAACCTTTTTTTAAATAAGAATTACAGTGTATTAATAGTTTATATACACGTCATTTTCTGCAGGATCAACTCGCATATTACCAGAAGTAAACCTGTACGGTGCCACCATCTACAACATACTGTGACACCGTCAATAAAGAGGTATTACCAAGCGATAATTACTGCAATACATCATAATAAGGAAAATATACATCCATTATGTGTACTTCAACATAATATAGTATTATAGTATACAATATTGCGTACGTACAATACAAAAGTGTAAATACCTACAATGAGCATTATGTAGTGAGCATTGAAGCAATGAACCATAGTGATCAACACATGTAAACACTTTTTTTATGGATATATACACACACACACACACACACATTTAAAGATACTTCTTGACGTATAACCAACAAGCCATCTGAAATAACTAGAAGACTTCACCACCATCATGCAAAGTATTGTGCGCATAAGAACCACAATGAATTAATAGGTTCTATACATTATATATGTAATATAGCGCAGGATCAACAACACTATTGAATGACCATTCCTACAACACCACTACTCAACATCTATAACACACTGTGAATCGGATAATAAAGATGAACTACCCATCTATATGCAGTGCAACATATATTATCATGTGAACCTTAACTTAATATAGCTTAAAATATTTCATAGATTAACAAAGTTAATCTACATGAAATATGCAGTATGTATTCAAGCACCAGCAGCGGTATAGCATCAGCATCATATGGAGATAAATATATGTATATATCTCAATCGACACGCTCCAGTTTTGATTATTTTTCATAGATGTAATCTTTAATAATTAACATGCGGACAGTCAATCATTACATATATAATTTGATGCACATTTTATAGCCAAAAAAAGTATGGTCTCCTTTCTGTGCTTATTTTTACTTCAACTGAGGTTGCTTTAACGTCAGAAATTTAAATGAAGACATTGCAATTAGACACTACATTTAAATTCAATAATTATATATCAAATAGCAAAGAGTGCTAAATACAATAATTATATATCAAATAGCAAAGAGTGCTTTGTAATAGTAAGTACATTTTGAACGATTGTTTTGTATATTTCAGGATTTTTATGCGCGAATCGTTTGGTTTTTTTTTTATTTTATTTCTTAGCATCTAGTATATTTCAAGGTACTGTACATTATCAATGGTTGTAAATAATTTGTATTACATTATTGAAAGAAACATTCTAATTTAAATTTACTTTTTATTTTCAGGTAAATATGCCTAGCTTCGTTTTTACCGGGTGCAGGAGCAGACCTGGTAGAACTTGGCATGAAGTAATAATTTCATGTCTTTCCCAGTAAAAGATTTTTAGCCAGAAAATGGCTGGAGCAGACTCGTCAAAATTTTGTTAATATTGAACAAATTTTAGATATAACTGACCCAAAATATCACACTACGTATCGGATCTGCTCCAGACATTTTGAGGACAGTTCCTTTGAGTTGATGGGATCAAAGCGTTTTTTAAAACCGGATGCACTGCCTTAAAAATTCAATTTTGAAGCAGGTCTTCCTTGCATAGCTGAAGAGGTATTCCATAGGCATAAAAAAACAAAGCAATGGATGTAAACACATCATTGGCCTGTACCTCTGTAACTCATTTGGAGCTTGCCAAGATTATGTGCGATACTTCAACTGACTATTTAAATTGTACAAGGGAAATATCAATTCAGACCGACTGTATACCAGTGGAAGATGCAATAGAATTTGCCAAATCCACTAACCATGAGGCTCCAATTTTAAAAAGTATAAAAATGGAGCATTCATATTGTAAAGACATGCCTATTATCTTAGAGACTGAAGTGTTCAGTCCGTCTAAGATAACTTCTAACCCTATTAAAATTAAAGATGAATTGGAATTCGGAACCATTACAGAGGAATCAAATGAAGATCCAATGGATCTTTTGGATTTTTTTTAACCAAGATATTGCAGAACTACACAATGTATCTACAGATATTGACAGTAGTGCTGCAATTGAGGAGTCAGACTTAGAGAGTTCTTTGAATGTCTCCAAAGAGCAAAAGCGTGATCCAGACTGTCATTTAGATTTGAACACTGAGGAATCAAATATCGAATTTCAGTGTGTAAATGATCAAAAATTTGTAGTATTTGAATCTTGTCTAGATTTGTTATGCTACAAAAACCCATGCCAGAAAAACTTGCACTGTACATCTAAGATTGTTTCTCTTAGAAAGCGGACAGAGGGTTCGCTATTAAAAAATCTATGCAACTTGTAAATCTACACAAATTTCTGTTGTGGCACAGTCAGCTACTCAGTCAAATTGGTGCTAGCAATATATTAATGGCAGCATCAATTCTCTTCAGTGGCTGTAATTTTTTTTAAAAAATCCATGAAATGTTACATTTATGGATTACAACACATTTCGGATAGTGGGTATTACCATTACCAACGGAAATACCTTTTTCCTGCTTTGTCACATCATTGGCAACTGGAGAAAGACATTTGTAGACCCCTGTGGAATGAACTTCCACTCTGCTTGAGTGGAGATGGTCAATGTGACAGTCCAGGATTTAGTGCTAAATATTGCATTTACATTTTCATGGATGTCTTTAGTAAAAACATTACTGACTTTGAAATTACACAGGTGTCTCAGACAACGTCATCCGTTGCTATGGGAAAAACTAGGTTTTCAGACTTGTTTGGATAGACTGAGATCTGAAAACCTTGATGTCCAAATGATCGCTACTGATAGTCATGTTGGCATCCGTAAATTGATGAGAGAAAAGTATAGTGGCAATACACATCAATTTGATGTATGGCACTATGCTAAAAATCTCAGAAAGAAGCTCGTGGCAATTTCTAAGGAAAAAAGTTGTCATGACATTTCTTTTTGGATCAGGCCAATTTATAAACCACTTTTGGTGGTGCATTAAGACATGTAAAGGGGACATAGTGCAATTAAGAGAGCGTTGGAATTCACTCTCTTGTCACATTTCCAATTGTCACGAATGGGAAGGTGCAGAGAGGTACCACGCTTGTTTGCACGAACCACTATCATAAGAAATGATTGACAAAGGTTTATGGTTGAAACCAAAGCCCAAGCATCTGAAAATCTAGTTAAATTTATTGTGAAGGATTTTGACCACTTAGTCCACTTCTGTCATACAGGATGTCTGGAGACATTCCATAGCCTTGTTTTGAAATACAGGCCCAAAAGGATTCATTTTGGACTGGATTCCATGTAGGCTAGAACAATTTTGGCCATTCTTGCTCACAACAGTAACGTTAATTGTGAGCAAGCAATTGTCAAAGTTTCGTTCAAAGGCACCGATCCTGTTGGAACTTTGCGAAATAGATTGGAATTCCCACGTTCCAGAAAAAGATGGGTTGTTCGTACTATGTATGAACCAATAACAATCACTCATATAGAACAAATTCTTATGAGTGTATTAAAAATTTGCAGTGCGAGTTTGCATGTGGATTGGAATTCATAATCCACAACAGTACCCAAAAACATTGCTAAAATTCCAAAGCTTGATTAACAAAAAAGACAGTAGAAGAGTAATTAAAGCGGCACTGTCATGTCGAACGTACCTGTCTCCTGTTTCATTTTCTCTTCCTTTCTCAGAATCATTTTTTCTTTTCTTTTTAATTATTTCTCATGTAGTTTTCTTGACCACATAAAACAAAGAAGGGACTACTATGTCTTATGTATTTTTCCTATGCTTGACTTTCTTTGATCAAAGGAGAAGATTAAGTCCGCTCCAAGTCTTGTGTCAAATAAAGCTTTAGCACAATACTTACTTTCCTACTTTACACAGGAAATGGAGCATACTTAAGCTCCTCCTTTAGCCATAGAAAGTCAAGCCTTGGAAAAAAAAATGTAGTAGTCATTACTTTGTCTTTGGTGTTAAAGAAATATATCAGGAATAAAGAAAAGGATAAATGAGTCTGAGAGAGGAGGAGAAAATAAATTAATTGGAGAATGGTATGTTCGGCATAACAGTGCCAGTTTAAAGAAACATAAGGTCAAAAACACAAGTGTTCTTGACTTTAGAATGGTGCAAACACTATTTAGCCCCCCACAGCACGCTTTAATATTATAAAAACTCACCTTATTTCAATAGCGTTTACAGAATGCAATAATTTCACAATTGTGTTAAAAGTGAGCCTCATTCAAAATGTATCAGTTTATAAAGAGAGAAACCATTGCATTCTGTAAATGCCATCGTTGAAATTGACAACTAAACAGTCACTGTCAACAACACCTGAAAAATTAGTATTTCATCAAGATCGAATCTTTATGAAATACTCACTTTGACATTTCTCTCTGTATTTCTTCAACACCTGACTTTCTTACACTCAAGGGTCAGTCCAATGGTCATTCCTAACAGCCGTTACAAGTAATGGTTGCAGTGAATTGGGTGCATTTATGGAGAATCCCACGATGTTGTGGGAGTCTACATAGACCGCTATGTTGTACTTTCACACATGGATAAGGAAACCAAAAAAAAGCAACTCACAATACATGGTTGAAAAGAAGAAAACTTTATAATAAACTATTTTACATATAAATTCAGGATGAATTGTAGCAATACAAACATTGTTTAAACCCTTGACGACCGGTAACGGTTCAGGTGCCGTCATTGGAAAAATCCCCTTGGGGCTCGATGACGGTCCTGAACCGTCATAACGGTCTGGGGCTACTTACCTGATCGCGGTCAGTCCCCCGGCGGCGATCAGCGCTCCTCCCGGTCCAGGGGGACTGCCTGTCGGCCCGGGCAGTCTCCCCTCGGCAGATCAGGACCCTGCGGCCACGTGATCACTCAATCACATGACCGCAATAGGTGTCTGTGTATCTGCCTGCAGGGGGACTGTCTGTGCTGACAGGCAGTCTCCCTGCAAGTGGAAAAAAATAAGGCAATCAGTGTAAAAAAAAATGTGTGTGTGTGTGTAATATATGTAATACTAAGTGTATTTTTATATTTATATATACGTATATTAATATAAAAATACTTTTAATTTAACTTACACACATATATATACAATATATATAGTGTGTGTGTGTGTATATATATATATATATATATATAATTATGTTAATAAAAATAAATAACGTAAAAATAATTTTTAATAAAATTATATATACATGTAATTTTATTCTAACAGTATTTTGATATTAATATATATTTATATCAAAATACACTTAGAATGTAATGATATATATCTATGTATAAATAAATAAAAATAATACGAAATATACATAATTACATAATTTCATAAATATACATGTAGACGTCAAATATATAAATATGTATAAATATTAAAATTCTATGTGCGTTTTTATGTAATATTTTTACCTAATTAAGTAATTTTAATGGTTGCAATTTGAGGGACCTGCCTGCCAACCCAGGCCGAAAGTCCAGAGAAGTTAATTTGCTAGCACTGTGTTTAACCCTGTAACTTTCTATGACACTCTAAAACCTGTACATGGGGTGAACTGTTTTACTTGGGAGACTTCGCTGAACACAAATATTAGTGTTTCAAAACAGTAAAACCTATCACAGTGTTGATATTGTCAGTGAAAGTGAAGTTTTTTGCATTTTTCACACAAACTGCACTTTCACTGATATTATTTCTGTGATACATTTTACTGTTCTGATACACTAATATTTGTGTTCAGCGAAGTCTCCCAAGTAAAACAGTTCACCCCATGTACAGGTTTTATAGTGTTTGTGAAAGTTACAGGGTGAAATATAAGGCTTGATTTTTCCTTTTTTTTTTTTTTTTTTTGGAGAATGAGAATTAGCCCCATGATGGCATACCATCATGTACATGTGAGGTGTGATTCGGGGATTTATGACAGACAACGGTGTTACAATGTCACTATTGATAAATTTAAAATATATAAATATTAAAACAGCAATTTCCTACTTGTATTTATAGGCCTATAACTTGCAATAAAGCATGTAAACACTGGGTGTTTTTAAACTCGGGACAACATTTTGAATCTATTTAGCAGTTTTTTTCATTAGCTTTTGTAGATAAGTAAAAGATTTTTCAAGTAAATGTCCAAAAACATGTTTTTTTTTTTTTAAATTTTTCAACATATTTTATTTTTTAAAAATAAAATGACATAATACAAATAATGGTATGTAAAGAAAGCCCTTCTTGTCCTGAAAAAAAAAAAATATATAACTTGTATGAGAACTGTAAATATGAGAGGAAAATTTTAGCTAAACACCACAAAAGTGTCAAAACTGCCCTGGTCCTTAACGTACATCGCAAAAACAGGCCGGTCCTTAAGGGGGTTAAAAAATGTTTTCAAAAGCCATCAGCCATATCGATGGCATTATAATCTTGGAGTCTAATGAATCCGACATGAATTTTCTGGGTCTGTTAAATTAGTACGAATGTCATGAACTGCACATCGTGAAATGGGCCTTCGATTTTTTTCGTCCAAGGTACCCATGAATCCAGGTGGTAAAACCTTGATATGCCGTCTTCCTCATTTGCCTACATAGAGAAACTTGGGTCAGTTTTTTTAAATAAAGATGTCTGGCTATGACACAGTTGTAGCATGTAAAATAGTAATACTAAATATTACAAATGTTATCTTAGCATTTTTAATTTTTTTTTTTTAAATGCAAGAGGGGGGTGAGTTTACTTACCTGAACCTTGTGGTCACTGACATTTTACTCAGTATGCTCTTCATCAACTTCTGGCACTTCAGCACTAAAAGTCGACCAAAATGCTGTAATAGCGCATTTGCGAGACTACAGCAATTAGGTCTATAAAGCAATGAGGGGCTACTATACACTGTCAATCACTTTAAAAAAAAAATATTTCATTAAGATAGAATCTTTCTGAAATACTAATTAAAAATGTGTTGTAATTTTACTGAATTACCAACCCAAGCAGATATACAGAGAAAAAGTATATCAAAATATGTCTCTGTATATCTCTTATTTAGAATTTTAGTGAAATACAAACACAATCTAAATGATTAAGTCATAAAGAGTACATATGAAATAATCATTTTTCAAGCGTAAGGATTTCACAATTCCCTAGTAGTAAGAAAAGATACCTACCTGTTAAATAACGCTTCAGAAGGCCTCTGGGACTCAACCCCAAGGAAGCAGTAGAGGAAGTGGGCAAAATCCTCCTGACAGAATCGCTTGAAGAAAGTATTATGGATAATACAAAGTGCATCTTCAAGCTGGCATACATTATCAATTTCTTTACAACAAATAGACTCCTCCACAGTTGGCATCGTAATGCAGTTTCCACAGGTGACCAATCTGTGTTCCCAATTCTGCCCTCTTCATCAGTGCTGGTAGTAACTTCTTCAGGAACCGACTGTCTCAGGTGTCTCTTGGAAGCGTGGTTTGTTCGAGGCATTTTCTAAAAGAAGCCGTTGTATTAACTGCTGTTTCTGTTAAAATAAAATACAAATATTAAATTAATAAAATAATTATAAATGATTAACTGCAAAACTTGAATTTCTATACTGTCTATAACAGTCCATGTCTAGTTCATAAATATTCTATGTTTATGAAATAAACATTTTTATGGGCGTTTGCCAGTTCAGCTAAACTCAAATTTAATAGAAAATATTTAAATTACCCTTTCAACAGCATTCAAGTCCTGAGAAGTTCCAGGATGCGAAGCAGACTCCAAGTCCATTGTACCTAAAAATGAAAATCAAAATTTTTAATAAGTAGAAAGTATTTCAGTGAAATTAAAAACAGTCAAAAATAATTAATAGACAATGTAGAGACTACTTTGTTTTATTACCTACCCACCCAGCCACCATAACAGAAGCAATGTCAACGTCAGTGATCTTTGCAAATTCAACAAAGTCGACCGAAAGTGACAGTGCTGATTTACTAAATGTTGTTAGTAGTAGTATTATTATATAAAGTTGTTATGTAGTACCTGTTTCAACAAGATCAATGTTGGAAGCCATCAAACACCCAATTGAAAAAATACCTAAAGAGAAAAAAAGATTAAACTCCGTAAATTATGTAGCTCACACATGATCACTGACATGGTTGAAGAGATGTACACAGATGACACACAGGCACATTTACATAGACACCTACTTACGTACATGCAAGAATTCTCACACATACACTGACAGACATGCAGAGAAACATACACTCTCACACACGTGTAAAAACTGACAGACACAGTTGTACACACTGGCAGACATGCAGAGATACATACACTACCAAAAAGACACAAGTCATAATAAAAATTCAAAATCACTTACTCTAAGTTGAAGTACACGATTATTCTCCAGTTCTTGTCTCTCCAGTTATTGTTGAAATCGCTGTTCATCTCTGTATCTTGATCCGCCGCAAAGTAATCCGCATAGAAGTTGATGTAAAAGGGCGTAAAGTGCGCTGGAAAAAGTGGTAACGTTCGTTAGCAAGGCGAATGAAAGAAAAAAACTGTACTGCTGTTTCTTCATTCGTCAAAAAAAAACGAACTAAGGAATAGCAATTTCAAACGAACGAGGAACAAATATTGTTCCTCGTTCATTTTTTACAAGGAGGGAGCTGCTCGCGGATCCCTACTTGTAATACTCTAAGTGCAAGCTAAAGCGCTTAGTAAACACCCCATGCCCCCAATCTAAATATGAGGGTGGGGGGCCCTTACTAAAAATAAGCGGGGGGGGACATATTGCCTCCCCCCTTGGCAACCACCCCTGAGCATCGGGTGGGGGCCCTTAGCAATAAGAGGGGGGAGACCTATTGCCTCCCACCCCTGAGTGGCAGGTGGGGGCCCTTAACAGTAAGAGGGGGGAGACCTATTGTGTCCTCCCATGGCCCCCACCCCTGAGCGGCAGATGGGGGCCGTTAAAAATAAGAGGGGGGGACATGTTGTTTCCTTACCCTGCCCCCATCCCTGAGCGGCGGGTGGGGGCTAAGTATTAATCCCCCCCCCTTCCAATGACTAGGGGTCCCCGAGCCCCTAGTCACCTTCCTTCCCCAAGAGAATGAAGCCCTACCTAGCCCCCTCATCCTAATAATAGTGAAGGGGGAGTCAATAAAGCTAAAAACCTGTAAATAAATAAAAAATAAACTTACCTATAAATGTCTTCTTTTTTCTAAAATCTTCTTTCTTCAGCCCCAAGAAAGGCCAAATAATAAGCCAATATAACCGTCGCACTTTTGAGAAAAAAAAAAAAAAGCGCAAAAAAAAATTAATCCTTCAACCTTCGAGGGCACGCCACATACTGAGCTCCGCAGGGCGGTTCAAGGCTTATAAAGCCTTACCATGCCCTGCAATTAGGCTCAGAGCACAATGATTGGTTGGTTTAAGCCAACCAATCAGAGTGCTCTTTGTCATTTTACAAAGCGTGGGAAAATTCCAAAGAACTTTCCCACGCTGTGGAAAATGACAAAGAGCACTCTAATTGGCTTAAATCAACCAGAGTGTTCTTAGCCTAATTGCGGGGCAAGGCTTTAAAAGAGCTCAGTCTGCACGGAGCCCTCCATGGGTGAAGATGGATGAATTTTTTTAAGCGTTTGTTTTTTTTATATGACCCCATGGCTGTATGTTGGTAAAAAGACTGCTTGCAGAGGCTGCAATAAGTGTATAAGTAAATGGAGGTAAGGAAGGCCCAGGGAGGGTCTGGTGAGGAGTAATGAAAGGGGCAAAAGTGTGTCTTGTGGTACAAAGAGGCTGCATGGCAGAGGAAGAAATGGTAATGCTAATGGTAGGAAGTGGCTTAGAGAATGGAAAGATAAGTAGTGATGATGCAGTGACTAGAAAGGTATGCTTTAAAAAAAAAAAAATATATATATATTTTTTTTAATCGAATTGGAGTATGTACCCTGCTAGTATATTGAATAAGCGGAAGTCAACAGAGTATTAAATGGGTTGAGGCCACGACCTGTAGAATGCTTTCTGAACTGGTTTGAGTGTATGAGGTGGCCTGACTACTAAAGACCGGGTAACTCCTCCCAATAATTTCAGGCTCTGCCTTCCTGTGTATCAAATAACAAGTGTAACACCAGTATATCCAGTTACTGCAGTTGGGGAAGAAAAAATATAAAAAATGTATGTGCTGTGATTTAAATACCATTTGCTTAAAATAGTTCTAGAATGTAGTTCTAGTCTTTGAAGGACCAGTTGGTTCATAAGCATAGCCGCTCGAGACATTCCACATGTTGTTGCTGGGAAAGTTGCCTCTCGAAATCTCATTCTGACATGACTTTCTGAAGCTCTCCCATTACAGACAGATGTCTGAAAACTTCTGATAACTCCCCCTGGCTATCTGACAGCCGTTTTTTAATTTATTTTTTCTTGGTGGGTGAGATCTACCCTGTTTTTTTTACTTTTCTCTCTTCAATATTTTTTCTATAGACTGGAGGTATTAGTAGCCCCTTCTGTCCTTTTTCAAGGACCACTATAGTGCCCTGAGGGTGCCCCCACCCTCAGGGACCCGCTACCGCCAGGCTCTGGGGAGAGGAAGGGGTTAAACTCTTCTCCTCTCCGCCTCCTCCTCCTCTTCGGCTGCATGCGCGGCAGGAGTTGCGCGCGCATTCAGCCAGTCTCATAGGAAACTGCTCTCTGAAACTATGTTTATAAAAAAAAATAGGTTAACCCTAGCTGGACCTGGCACCCAGACCACTTCATTAAGCTGAAGTGGTCTGGGTGCCTAGAGTGGTCCTTTAATTTTGATATCTTATGTGCCCTCCCTCATACATTGTTGCTAGAGCTTACTGTCACCAATAGTGCAGTTGGGAATCAAGCTTTTGGCATTAACTTAATAGCTCTAGAATTAGAGCATAGTAAAATATTCAAAAGTAGGTACAATGTAATTACAGCATTATATTTTGTTTATGTAACAATGAACATGGGGAGATAAAGAAAAATGTATTTATTAAACAATCGTACAAGGGAAAAGATCAGGATGGGGAGGGGGGATAGAGTTGGAACCCTTATTGTTTACATTGTGATGTGTGAATATTTAGTTGTGGTAATATTCATACAATGCTTTTTGGTATCTCATAGGTATAATTTTGTAACCACTTTAAAAGGTTTATATCCTATTAACTTGATCAAATTGAAATCTATCCTGGAATACATATGTACTGTAGAATAAGTGTATTATGGTATGTTTAATGTTTGTGCCATTTTCATGACCAATTTTCTATATTGCTTCATGCAACTTAATAGGGTAGTCTTTAAATTGCACGTTCCTGCACGATGAGCTTCAGCAATATCCTTACACTGGGGATTAATAAATGTATTCATCACCTTCCATTTCACAAATACCTGGAAATGGATAATGCATATTAAGCACACATTATATCCATATACCACAATATAATATCAGTGGATTACATAGGATGAACTATTACCTCGTTATAAGGAAGTTATTACACAGAAAAGTATTGGAATTTTCACTAAAGGAAATAATTGTATTTGGTAATAAAGTATCTCCTGATAACTCCCAGCATATTTGATTCTGTAAGCTCAGGATTCCCACTTTGACAAATCTCTTTGAGTCACCTTCTACCTCCAAGGGTGACCTACCACATCTATAAATCACTATACTTATATTTCCATGACTGATCATTCCAGTCACCCCTCTTTTTTTTTTACCACTCAAGACACATGGGGACAGAAAAGGGAAAATGTATCTTAGTCCTCAGGGAGCAGTAATGGCTTCTATGTATTATTTCAGGGTATCTAATACTGTGTAGCCCATCTGTGACCATGCAGGGAGATCCTTAAATCTGCATTGGATGGAGGCCGAAGAACAGGTTATTACAGGGTACGTGCCCACAGGAGCACAGAACAGATCGCAGCAGCCATGATACTGACAGCAATCCAGGATACTTTGAATCTTCCTGAGTCAGGAGCTGGTTCAGCTGTAACACACACATTTATACACAATAAATCCATTTATATTTACTACCTGGTTATTAATTTTAAAAAAATCACTAAGAGCCGGTCTCATATTTGTGCCATTTTCGACACAACAATACTGGAAACCTGCAGTAAGGATATACCGTAGCGCCACCATCAGTAAGGTATAGCTGGTGCTCTGTTTTCCCAACCTTTACTCATGCATGGAACATGTTAAACAGGAAACATATCAAACGCGTGTTCCCCGAAGCAGAAAAGCCATATAACATGCATCATTCCATAGATTTTATATAAAGCACAGACTGGAGCTGTTCATTAAGAAAAAAAGAATGGCGTTTAAATGGCAGGTTTTTTAACACAGCTTCGTTACACGCAGATGCTCACACATTACACAGATTAAGGAGGATCTGAGTGAATGTATCCACATATAGGTTATTTTCTGTATATTAGAATTTTGTATTTGACAGAAGTTACAGCGAAGACAAATTCTAGGAACATCCTTTTGTATAGAGGCAGAACATGTAGGAAAAAAAAAGCCCAATCCTGAACCTCATCAAACCACCCTACCTTGCTGTTACCATTTGCCTCAAAGATCTTGTACTTGAGATTGACCAACTTCCTTGAATCGAACTTCCTGCTTCACCCACTTCAGTCAGGATTCCTCACTCTGACAAAACTGCTCTAAACAAAGTATCAGTTGACTTATTTGCTGCAAAATCAGTCACTATTCTATCCTAATTATCCATGACCTTTTTGCTACTTTCATCATTGTTGATAATCAACTTCTTCTCAACCTCCATAATCTCGTTTTATGATCCCCAGCGTGTGCAAGCAACACACAAAAATGAATCTACCCACTTCTGCCACGAAACCTGTAAAGGCATCTATTTTACTGGTGTGAAACTTTCCTTTATGCTGCAGCCTTTCCCTGTATTCCGGCAAGGTTTGGCCACACCCTTAAGTTCTTGGGAAGGAACAAACTCCAATAGAGTAAGCTGAATGACTCCTATTTATTAGAACAAAGCAAGATTTTAAATAGGCTTGCTTACAGAAGGTTTGAGACGTTAAGACATTGTACCATCATATTGCAGAAAAACTATTTTATACTAATGAGGGGGATTTTGCTTTTCTTTTCCTGCTGCAAGAAAGCTCAGAATCCGTGACAAACTGCAGTTTTTTTTTCTTTATCTACAAAGCTTCTAATAAGCATTAACAAAAAGGGCTTTACTTAACTGTGGAGCCCAACATATGCTCTCCAAACATTTTCACACAACTGCTCTCCTGGCAGAGATCAGGCAGCCAGCAACATGATGCACTAGTTTAACTTTCAATTCTCGTTGATCTCTTGGTCAGGCAAGTGAGGGCTAATTCATCAACATCACTGCAGGAATATTGAGAAGAATATTTTTATGTATTAAATATAAATAATGCTTTGTACAAAGAGTATTTTGAGAGTACAGTTAGTTTTTCTTTTTAAATTTTCTTTTAAATTATTTTTTATAGCTTACCTTGCAAGAGCTCAGGTAAACAGCACATGATACATCAGGGTTGCACTTGTGTTTTGCTCACCATTGGAACAGACTTTTTCATTAACCAAGAAAATGTCTTGGTCCAATATTATATTTTGGAAGAAAGGTAAAAATAACTAACAAATGCTTCTTAACATAATGATTAATATGATTGGAATGGGTGGGATACGTCCAAAGTCCACACAAAAGGAGCTACGTAAAATACAGCAGACACAAAAATGATAACGTTTATGTAGAAAGATCTCACCAGAGAATATTAAATATTGTGCAGGATAATTGTCAATGATGGTGGGGGCTTCTGTTTGCTGGAATAGTGGTTACAAAAGTCAAAGTCAAATGTTGTGGCATCTGTAGCAAGTATTTTTATGTGACATGATGCAAATTGGTTCTCACCTGCTGCACAAGGAAATCTCACCTGCGTACTTGGATATGAGGATGGTATATACCCCACCTTGGGTTCCCAAAGACTTGTAGGCAAATTTGTAGTATGTAAAAACATAAATAAGTTCTGGTTATTGTACACTAATACAAATAAAAAAAAATATTGGAGAGGTATTCACAAGTAAAGAGCAAAAAAGGTTTTGCTCAATGCACAGCATTCATATGGTATTTTTCCCACCAAAGGAATGTTTTCAGACTCCCAACAGAGGTCGGAATAAAGTCCAAATATGTATTCAAATTTAACCACTTTATTAAATGAACTTGTATAGAAAGATAATAAACGCCGTAACACTTGATGTTTCACCTTCAGAAGCTTTTTTGAGTGTTAAATACACATTGACCTCACTATATAAAGGGAGCACATACAAATCTGACTACCGGTGTCACAGATTGTGATCAATCAATCATGCAGTTGAGTGTCTCTTTAAAATAACAGCTGATAAGGCATGATCTAATTAGAATGAGTTATGGAAGTGCAGAAAACGAGCATTAAAAACAAATTATCTTTATTTAAAAAAACAAACAAAAAAACCCCTAAACAAGATGGTGTAGCCAGGTCCAATCATGTGGTTGGCGCATATAATACTCGCTGAGTATACTGGATAGGGGACCGGGCAGCACTAAAAGGAGGTGCAATGAGAGCTCAGAAATGCAAAACTAAGTGTGTAGCTGAATCCAAGAAAATGGCACCTGCCAGTGAGGTGACCTGAGGAAAACCGAAAAGATGCCGCACACGCCTGGGTTCTAAGTTGTGTAACTCATAGGGAATCACTTTTACATGCTATGCATATTTTAAATTTGTAAAAGCATTTCTTATCCATGGAAAGTTTTGGTGCAGTATTAGTAAGATGAGTTTTTAAATTTGAGCATTTGTAAAAAATTTTGCTCTCCGGAATGACTTCTCTAATTTATATATTCTTAGTGTCCCAGTTCTTATAAAATATATATTTTTTCTGTTTTTATTACTTTTATTTGAAAGTCAAGTATTACAGGGGCAATGGGATTTTAGTTTTTACAATGTTTTTTTAATTTTAGTTACTTTCTATCTTGATCTATATCTTGAATTATGTTGTCTCATTGACATAGTTTTACATTACCACATCTTTTTCTTTGAGAGAATAGGCTTGTTCTTTATTAAAAAAAAAAAAAATAAAAAAAAAATATTAGTGCTATTTTTCTTTAGGTGAATTAATGGACTTTGGGATAGCTTTGAACCAAGAAGAACAATGGCAGCTGGTTTGATTTCTCTAGAAAAGTATTTCTGTGTACTTTAAAAAAATAATAAAAAAAAAAAAATTCTGGTATTTATAACATTTTCCATATAGATTTCAAAATCTCAGAAATGCACTCTTGTTTTGCTTAACTTTACAAATTATCTGTTTCTGTGCCATTCGAGATAAAATTGTCTATATAGGACCAAATTTGTCTCCGATTGGTGGGAACATCTAGTGAAATTCTCCCAATCCGCCATAAAGTTTGGCGAACCTGGTCCCCATAGTATTCCTGTTTTTTTGCAGAAAAAAAGAATCTCTAAAGAAAAAAGTTTTAAAATCATATGAATACCTCTGATAAAAATCTATCAGCGATTTTTACCGGCTTTTTCAAGTATTACTTATTGAAGCACATACAATATTGTGTGTAATAATGGTATTGAGGGATTGGATCTCACTCGTAACTAAAGAATTAGTGGGTTCCCATTTACAATTTTAAAAAAATAAATAAAATTGTGTAAGTCTTATACTGTTTTAAGGTATGGCTGAAGGATGTTGCTGTAGTCGGATAAATTGAATAAAATGGAATTTATGTCTTTATTGGGCGACCAAGAGCTTTTTTTATTTCAGTAACAGGAATAGTGGGATAGGTTATATTTGAAAATCTAAAAATTCTCTCAAAATATCTTGTTAGGGGTAGGGTCAGAAGTTTTATACACTGGTGCCATTTAATTGCTTATCTGCTTCAGTCGTGTACTTCTCCGTAGGTAGAATAAACTACCTCCCTTGTCCGCTTGTTTAAATATTTTCATTTTTGAGGGCTTTCAAATCTTCTTCCTTTCCTTAGTCATATCTGTTTTTCTTTTTATTTTCCTTAATTCTTTTAACAACCAATTTCTTAAAGGCTTTCTAAACAGGATTTATACATACAGGGATAAAAGGTGGATTTAGATTTTAGGTTGGCATGCTTTTGCAGAAGTATTATGAGCAATGGTGGCTGGATTAATATCTTGGTCTTTATGGCAGGCATAGAACTTCCTTAAAGTGACCTGCAACAAATTTGTTTATATTTTCTGCGAACTGGATGAAATATTTTCAAGCAGGGACATATTTTTGGTCTTTGATCAAAACAGCCATCTATATACAATTTAAAACTTTGATTCAAAATACCTACTACAAAATAGTAAGTGTTCTTCCTTTTTTGTCATATGCTGCTTCTTTCTCGAGTTGTTGGGCTTTGTGTGCTCCTTCACCATTAAATAAGAATTGCAAATTACATTATGTAAACTAACCTTTCCTGTATTTCTTCAGGAGACCATGTCCTCTTTCACAAAACTTTCACCAGCACGATTCACAGTATGTTTCTGGTATTTCAGTTTGTAATTAGTTGTCATCCAGCAGAAGCATTAGTAAATTTGCCTTGTGTCTCTGCATCAAATGTTTAACTCGGTTGGCATCACTCATAAGATCCTAGTCTAGAAAGAACACAGTGTGCACCTTTGCTCACGGATGCATAATTGTCAAGGTTGGCTAAAACATCCTCAGCAAGGTGAGGCAGCAACCAAATATAGGCAAATACAGGGGGATAGGAATAGGTGAATTAACTAACGTTAGTCGCCAGGCTAATGTAAAAGTTGTTTAGTTGTTCAGTCGTGTCTGACTCTCCGTGACCAAATGGACCATAGCACGCCAGGTCAGTCACTGTCTCTGAGCTCCAACAACATGTTCGTGGCTTCATTCACTTCATCCTTCTCTATCGTCCCCTTCTTCATGTTCCTTCAATCTTTCCCAACATCGGTTTTCTCTAGAGAATCCTGTCTTTTCATTATATGGCCAAAATATTTGAGCTTCAGCCTCATGATCATAGCTTCCAGTGAACAGTTTGTCTTTTTCCTGTAGTACGGATTTATTGGATCTTCTTGCAATCCAAAGGATTCTAAACCGTTTTCACCAACACCACAGTTAAAAGGCATTAATTCTACGACGCTCCGCCTTCTTTATAGTCCAGCTCTCACATCCATGTGTTACTACTGGGAATAACATGGTTCTGACTAAGCGGACCTTTGTTGAGTATAATATCTTATATTATGTAGTATCTTATAGTTTTTTTTTACCAGCTTGTCCGATGTAATAAGAGGACTAGACTAAGAACTCTAAATATGTGACCTGACACACAGGTAACTGGAATACTGAAACCAAGTTGTCAGTAGCACAGCGAACAGTAATGTCTGTAAGCAAGCCAGGAACTAGTGCACAGTTTGGAAAATTAGATCGGTCAGACTAGAACACGAAGCAGACTTGAAAGTAAACAGTCCGGGTTGAGTACATAAGGGCAAGAGAGCAAAAGTTGTCAAGGCAAGCTGGTGTTTTGTAATTTTTCCTTGAGCCATCAGAAGTATGGACCGTGTCTCTTCTGGTGACACGGTATCGGCTGTCCGCATTTTCATGTACTTGCACATTAACAGCAGGTCCATAAAAATTATCAGACATGACCAGCAGAAAGGAGTTATAACAAAACTGCACATATAGTTAAGCTAGAGATATAGATACATACACACGCGTACTCGTCGTCGTGAATAAACATCTGGAAGGAGACTCCTAGGTAATACAGCCTCTTTTTTTTTTTTTTAACATAAAAAAACAGGCTAAGCAATCTTGTGCAAACAGGTATCATCTAAGCTTCTTACCTGTGTAATATAGCAGACAAGGAGTATACTAGATAAGTGTGAATTATTAAACGGCAAAATACAAGTAACTTACAATAAAATAATCTTAGATGAGCCAGCTCAAAACCGCATCAATGGGTTGAAACTAAATGTTTGTAATGAGCAGGAGTGTTAATAAACCCAAGGAGTGTTAAAACATACATGAGGCCCCCTTTATAGGCTATTGAGGGGAAAACCCCTTGGTGATCTAAACAGCACAGTATGGAAAGCGGATCAAACAAACATTATGCAAGATGGAGGCGAGTCTTTACGAGGTCATCGGTTGCCTATGCCCTTCTCCAGTAATTCGTAGTCTTGGTTTAATGTTGACACTGAGCAGAGCGTCCCATGTAAAGGCTGAGGTGTTGCACTGCTGAGCCGTGTGGGTGGGATGAGTTGCTGCTTCATGTGCCCCACCTTGATAGCAGAGTATGGCCCAATCTGTAGGCTAGATGAGTAGCTGCGCCCGGTTTCCATTTGCTCCAGCAGAATGGTGGTTTCTCTGCCATTTCGATCTGGACACTCTGGGCCTTCCTTCTCCTCCGTCTCAACTGGAAAACTCAGCGGCATAGGTAGTTTATTCAGCTGGGGCCGCGGTTTGCAGTCAAGCCTCCAACCTCTCCCAGGAGTCAAAGATCTGGTTTAGCGGATCCAGCATGTCCAACCTCTCACCACCTGTAGGACTCTCAGCTGTCGCTATATTGCCACTGTCTTGATAGTGATATACATATATACACACAGTGATATCCTTAAATTAAAAAAAATCTTCTAATTGTAGATTAGATTTTATACCTTTATTTTATTTTACTTTTTGTTTTTAACTGCTAAAAACCTGAAATTAAAAATGGCAAATCTCTTAAATTATACTAACTACTGGGGTGTGTATTGGGTGGTGGTTCAGCCCCTTGATTCTCTTCACAGTATAAGCAGTATTAAGGTCATAGTCTGTTCTCTACACTCACAGTACTTTTTTTTTTTTTTTTGGTTAAATAAGTATTATACTCACTCAAACTATAGTGGCAGGAAAACACATTTATTTTTCTGGCGCTATAGCTTCCCCCTCCATTAGAAAACACCTGTCACTTATTATACAGTTCTTTCCTATGGGGTTTTGGGTCATGCTGGACATCCCCATGCATGGTGTGAGGATGTCCAGCGACCAAAAGTTGCCTAACAGCTTGGAAGTCCTGCTAGTGGCTGGTAGACAGCCACTAGATGTGGAGTCAACCCTAGCAGGTAATTATTGCAGTTTGTTAAACTGCAATAATTACCTGCTCAGAGTTAAGGGACCTGGGTCACTGCTTACAGACCACTACAGTGAGCTGAAGTGATCTGGGTGCCTATAGTGTCCCTTTCAGTCATCAAGACTTGTGCCTACTGCTGACCATACACACCTTTTTGATCTCTCGATTCATCCACACCCTATTCTCTCCATTTATACACAACCCGACTTATAAACTAGTTGATCAGTCCACAATGTTGAAGCCTCTATGTTGAGAGAAGCTTGATGCCACTTTCACTTCAATAGTATCAAACGTGGGTCTCATCTGCCTTGTTTCCCACAGGAAAACATACTTGTTGCAGCTCTCACTCACACTGTGAATAGTATAACTATAGCCACAGGAGTTGGTAACAAGTACAAGAATAGTATAACTTTACAAATGAGATTAATAAATACATCATAAAACGAAAGGAGGGAAATGAATATGGCAACCTGATATGTAAACGAATGGTAAAAGTTCGGAAAAGAAGAAAAAAAAAAGATGGAATTCACTTACTGGATTCTAAAATATTCTGCACACCTCAACTTCTCAGTGCAATATAACTCTAATTGGAATGTTCTATTTAAACAATCCTCATTATATTCTTAAAAACCCAGTACAGTTTCCTTGCGTTATTGAGTTTTTTTTGTGGCTGTATACTGATGTACTCACTCTGCACCTAGTAATTAAAAACATGTTACATTATGGTATAACCTATTAAAATGTCAGGTAATGTGTATTTTCACATTTTATGTTTTGGAGTGATTTTTAATACACGTTTCCAACTTATTAAATCTTTGTGAATTTTGAATATGAATAAAACTTTACCTGACAGCCTTCATGCAGTGTGTGTGATATAGCTGACCTTTTTTTATACTGGAATCGGGCACAGGCTATTTCAAATGGTGCATCCGTTACTACTTCCGCAGAGGACTTCACTGTACTGATGGTTCGACATCTAGCATTTGTAGCCGCAATTGACCTTTTTTATTAAGGGCTTTTACAATAGTACAAAAATGTTTACCATCAAGATTAAAACTCCACAGCTACTGGAATGCTGCTGGTTGCTGTGATGCATTATCCAAGTTTTCCATTAGGCTCCCTGTTTTTCAAGCGTTTCTATACTCCACAAGAAACCAGTTTTTTATTTTTTTTAAAATCCACACATTTTAATTGAAACGTTTAAGGGATAACTTTTTTTTTTTTTTTTTCAGAGGCACACTTGGCTCCAGTTGTGTTGCAATTTTGAAACCTAGTAATTTTCATTCCTTATCTGGTCCATCAACGTAATGACCTTCTTGGACATGACAATCTAATTTTTTGGGGGAAATTACACAACTTTCTTGTCATTCATATTTTTAATATATAGTTTAATATCTGCATATATAACTATTACATAAAATGTAATGGTGTATGATAATATAATTAAAGGTAAACTACTTACTAAAATTCAGGGAGTTTAGAGTTTAATAAGGCATAGCCAGAGATCTTCTACTGGAAATGTCATCTGAAGAATGGATAGAAAGCCTAGTTAGTATATTTATGTATATGTATGTGCCCGGGACTTTATTCAGGATCAGTAGATACATAAATGGACATAATTGATATGTATATATTCTATCTGTAATTGTGACTAGTAACAAACCTTTACAAGTCTATGGCTTTGTCCAGAAAATACTGATGAAAACTGCTGCTGTCTCCCGAACAGGTTTCAAAAAAATAAAATAAAATAAGGCAAAATAACATGCAACAAACTTCTAACACAAGCATACACATTCATTTTTTTGCCTGATGCTTTCCAATGCGATGATGAAGGTATTATACAAAATATAAATCTTATATTTTTACTTCTGATAAATTTTCAAAAGTAGTCTTTTACCACTTCAACCAGCCACTCTGTCCTATGGATGTAAGGAATTAAGAAACAAACAGTTGGTATGGTCCCACAACTGCTTCCATCGAGCTGCCATCTACAGCAGCCCCACAGCATGTTAACCTGGGGAAAAAAAAACAGCAACAAACTTAAATTGCAGTTGTACGCCAATTCAAGTTGGGTATGCCTTTTGCGCAAATTTTATATGGGGGGGGCAGGGGGACACCTTTAAGACCTACTGCTGGATCAACCATCTTTTTATTAATGAGATGTCTGTGATTGTTCAACCCACGCTTCTCAGTAACATCTTTCCCTATCCCTTCCTGCTGGCCTGTCAGTCGGGATTATGTTTCAGATTAGGATTTAGATTATGGTTCGCATTAGGGTCAGCACAGGCATCCCTTGCTGAATATAGCAAGGGAATTCCTCTGCTAACGCCAGCAGGGGGAATCATTTTAACACTATTGCTAAAGGTAAGATTGAGATTAGGATTAAGGTTATAATTAGGGTTACACATGGTATTACGGTATGGGTTAGGATTGTGGTAAGGGTTTATGATTAGATTGAGGGTTAAATTTGGGATTAGGATTTGGTTTAGAATTGGAGATTTAGATTGGGATTAAAATCGCTACTTTCCAAAGAGATACATATGGAGTATATTAATACTGAGATGATGTTGCTGAGTACAGATAAAATAATTTTATGACAGTGGGACACACGAGATTTAAAAAAATAAGAATCAAAAATACTATGTGTATGTAAAAATAAAAGTGAATACCACAAACTTTGAAACAAAATGTCACTTCTTCAATTAAGCTTATAATATTTTATGTGAGAGTCCCCATGGTGTCCACTTTGTAAATGGTATGCATTGGTGGCATAATTTAAATTTATATAAGCAACTAAAATGACCCAAAATGAAACAGACCCATCGTCAATTTGCCACTTAAAAAAACTGTACTGGGCCGGGTATGATTTTAGCCCTGTATTTTTTCATAAAAACCTGACTAAGGTATACAAAGGGGGTCATTTTGTACTCAGGAAATATAGCTGAGAATTTAGTGATTTAATTTACAGTAGCCTATATCAAGTTTCCAAAATTAACCACTAAAATGCAACGTGTATAAAAATGCAAAAATAAAACCATACAATAAAATTTGAAAGAATTTGGTGCTAACATAACTGATCAAAATATACCATATGACAAAGCCTGTGGTGTCTACTTTCAAAAACGGTATGCATTTATGGGGTAAATTTAACTGTCAAACTGCTACAATGCTCTAAAATCTGATAGACACATCAAATCCATTTATCAAAAGTCTAATAGTAAAAACTGTAATGGTCAGGACTCTTAAGGCACTGTAGCTTCACAGGATAGTGGCAAAGGCATACATTGAGGGTATAGTTTTATTCAGAACAGTTTGCTGAGCATAATTATGGGGTTTTGATCACAGTGGCACATACCAGACTTGAAAAATGACCCAAAATTTTGCAATGTGTATGTAAAAAAAAAAAAAAGCCAAAGCAAAAATATTTTACCACAAAGTTTGACATAAACTGGTGAAGAAATGCCATCACGTTAAGGCACAATATATACCATATGAGATACCCTGTAGTGTCTACTTTCACAAATGATAGGTCCTTGAGGGATACATTCAACAGTCAAACTGCTATAATCCCCCAAAATGAGACTTGCACCCATCACATTAATATATCAAAATTATCAATGTGAAAACTGAAATGGCCAGGTCTCTTTTATGGCACTGTAACTTCACAGGATAGTGGCAAATGCATAGGTTGGGGGGTATCTTTTTACTCAGTAGATATGGCTGAACACAATATGGGGTTTTCTACAGCAGTAGTATACATCAGCTTTATGACATACATTTAAAATCCTTGTTTTATGTGTGTATGTTAGAAATCTGAAAAAAAACCCACAATTTTACTACACTATTTAGCAGAGATTGGTGGCGAAATGGCTACGTAAAGTGTCCGAATAACCTTAGGTAAATAGCCTGTGATGTATGCTTTATATAAATACTTTTGTGCGGCAAATTTGCTTTCTGTAATGACTATTAAGCTTTCAAGACAAACATACCAAATTCTAAATAGCTCCACATAAAAATTTTATTTTAATCCTTTTATTTTGTGACCGGTAACTTTCAAAATAAGCTGAAATCCTAGACATATTATGTACTCTGAAAATCAGAACTAATTAAATAATTTTTGAATTACTTTCCTTAAGCTACACTTATTATACACACATTATTGCGTAAACTGTGGAAATTTTTTTTTTAAATTTATATATGTATGTCACATCAGATTAAAGACCATTTTGTCCTTTAAAAAAAACTGTATATAACGTGTTGGTGCAATAAATAAGAAAAATGCAAACTGAGGTTGAACACAAACTGCAAAAATTGCTGCGTCCTTAA